AATACTTTCCGTACCCACTGTATATATATATATTTATTTATTTATTTATTTATTTATTTTTTTAAAGAAAATAATATTTATTCAGCAAGGGATTAAATTGATCAAAAATGACAGCAATTTCCAGTGAATGCTGTTTACTTGAACTTTCTATTCATATTCATTGATAATAATAAGAAATGTTTTTTAAGCACCAGATCAACCTATTAGGGTGTTTTCTGAAGGATCTTGTGACACTGAAGACTGAAGTAATGGCTGCTGAAAATTCAGCTTTGCCAGTTTTTCTTACACTATATATCTGACTGAATAAATGAAAAAAAGAGATTTATTTCTAAAATATTACTAAATGTGTATGTGTGGTTGCAGTGCGGACCAGGAGGTTGTCTGATAGAACTGGCTGAGCAGCTCTGCATCATCATGGTGGGAAAACAACTTATCAACAACGTTCAGGAGTTTGTCATCCCGTAGGTGTCTCCCTCAGAGCCTGACTCTTCATCAAACTAGTCTTATTTTTTGCAGCTGTACTTAAAAGCTTATTATATTGTAGAGCAAACCACGTAGTATTTGAACTAAGAGACTTAAGTCTCAATACTGCAGAATCAAAATGATTTTATTTGGTCCTCTGAGAAAGGCAAGCCGGGTGCTGGGTGGGCACAGCAGTCTTCTGTGGAGGTGTATGTGTGGGACAGGCTTAGCCTACATTGTGGAAAACATATTGAATAATTAATGAACATCTTAAAATGCAAACACATTCCTGTGAGGGTTAGATTTATGGCTAGGGGATAAAAATATCAATTTAGAAATAAAACACCTATCATAAAACAACTACTATCATAGACGGGCTGTGTGCTTTCATGCAGCAGTACGAGAATAAAAATGTGTGTAAACATGAGCAAGAATAGCTTTATGAATACTGATTGATTTGATTATTGATTCATCTGCATATATCACTGTAGGGTGCAATGAGCAGACGGATGACTGTATCACTGCCAGTACTGCAGCATGTCTCTTCTTTTAAGGTGACAGTTTTTGCGGTTTAGCAGAATAAATGCCACATAGGAGAAGCTTTTAGCACTCCCTTATCAATAATGCATCACCAGAGTCAAACTCAGGCAAAACCGGATCTTTCCAAATGAGCACAGTTCTATTTTAGACCTAGAAATAGCCTCAGAAGAGCCATCATCATCATCATCATCATCAACCAAAGCAATAGACACAGTGTTCTGTTGATGTCTCATTCTCGCTCTTTCTCTCTCACTGCTTTTCAGTAAAATAAAGTCTTGGAGACAGAAACGGGCCTTATCATCTGTGAAAAAGGCCCAGAAGGCAGAGGAGCGTAAGTGCTGGGAGCAGGACTATGAGTTGATTCCATGTGAGGGGCTTTTTGATGAGTATCTGGAGATTGGTAAGATGATAATATTTCACTTTTTAATGAGATTTTTGCATCAAGTTTCTGTCCAAAAAATGTGTAGCTACTGACACTGAAACATCATGGACCTCATTTCTTGAGGGGGGCACCAGTGGCAGTCCTGGCTCACTTGGTGTTCTAGACAAGACAAGACATGACAAATAAAAAACATTTCTAACAGCCAATCATTATATAAGTGTAAGTACACTACCATTCAAAAGTTTTGGGTTAGTTATTTTTGAGCATAAGTGAACTTACCGACCCCAAACTTGTCAGTCATTTCTGCCAGTGTAGCAAAAACATATTTTTACCTACAGTAATCATGCAACTTATTATAAACATTAAATGGATGTGATGTTTCTGTATAGATGCTCCTGCTATGCTTGTAATTAACTTACAGTATTTGATCTTCATTGTTGCCAGTCCTGCAGTTTGGCTTCATCACCATTTTTGTGGCAGCCTTCCCTCTGGCTCCTCTCTTCGCCCTGTTGAATAACTGGGTGGAAGTAAGGCTGGACGCTTATAAGTTTGTGTGTGAATACCGGAGACCAGTGGCAGAGCGAGCCCAGCACATCGGTGTGTGGTTCATCATACTAGAGGCGCTGTCCCACGTGTCTGTCATAGTCAATGTGAGTGCCTACAAAAATTAGTATTTTTGATACTTAAAGTATCAAATTAGCAAAATCTATTGCCAAAATTTTGTTGGCAAAAAAGGTCATATTGAAAGGTCATATTCATATTGAAATGGCTTTGCCTGCAAAATTTCATAGAGTAATGGTTAATGTGACTGCACCTTTAGTGTGGTACTTTTTGGTAAACACATAATGACTCCACTTGTTACATTACATTATCTAACATTACCTTTTCAACATCTTGTAAGGATTCACAGTTGCTTGTTTCTCTACAGGCTTTCCTCATTGCATTTACCTCAGATTTTTTGCCTCGCCTGTTGTACCAGTACAAGTTTAACAATGACCTGCATGGTTATGTCAACTTCACGCTGGCTTACTCTCCACCCAGTTACAACTACTCCAGTCATACCGTATGCAGGTAACAGTGCTGATGCTGTTCTGTAGTGCAAGAAATCTGAAATCAGACTCTCTTATATCAGTTATGCATTGTAAATTTGCAAAAATATATTGCCTTATTTCAGGATGTTTTTACATCATTATTTGTATTTTAGTTTTGTTTTTTACATGTTAGCCATGTTCTAATGTTTCTCAGGAGTGTCTTGGCTGTTGTACTGTTTTGCAGTAGAGGGGAAAAGTGTTAATCAATGCAGTGAACAGTAAAATTGTAGCTGTCAGCACTGTTCGATTTTCTTCTCTTGTAGTCATTTTTTGTCATGACTTTTCTTGTTGTCAGATATAAAGCATTTCGAGATGAAAATGGAAAATACACACTGGTGTATTGGGAGCTTCTGGCTGCAAGACTGGGCTTTATCATTGCCTTTGAGGTGATCATTGATCTTCCTCCTGCCAATCACATCACTGTCATATTCTTCCTTGAATTTAAGCTTCCCATATATATGCTGTGACTAATTTAAAATGAACCCCATTTACTCTGGTACATAATGTCAACTTTTCATTAACGTTCCAGCCTTAGTGTTTGTTGAATATATATATATAATTTTTTATTAAACTGAAATTATATTGTACAGAAACATTCAACAGTAAAGAGCATCACACACACAAGGAAAAGAAAACAATACATCAACTAATTAAACAAATGTACTATATGAATAAAGTTTAACATATATATAAATAAAAGTTTTTTAAAAATAGTAAATAAAAAATACATTCGTAAATGAACAAACAAATAAAATAAAATGGAATACATTGATAAGTGGAGAAAAGTGCTTTAAAACCATACAAATAATATAAATATACTATATAAAACTATATAAATAACATCACCAAAACCTTTCTTATATTTATATCAGTTCTTTTTATATAGGCCTGTATATCAAGAATCTATCACTTTTTTTAATTAATAATTAAATAAAGAGATTTAAAAAGTCTGTCTTTGTCAACTAAAAATGTGAGAGACCTCGAATTGCAATAGTAAAATGGGTTGCTGATGGCAATTTACTTTGTCTGTATAATGACCTGATTGTTTACTGTCTCTTTATTACTATCTAATAATTATTTCTATTTTGTGGTCATCTTAGTAATAAAGTGTGTGTACTCATCCTCAGCATGTGGTGTTCTTTGTCCTGCGTGTCATCGACTGGATGGTTCCAGACATCCCTGAGTCCTTGGAGCTGAAGATCAAGCGGGAGCGTTACCTGGCTAAACAGGCACTGGCTGATAAACAGGAGGCCCTGCTGGTGAGTAGCTTTAGGTGATGTTAGTGCACATAGTGATGTCCACACCCTCCAGCGCCCACTCACTGTGAGCCATGCTTGTTCTCATTACCACTCACACCAGAGAGCTCAGAGACTGAGGCTGTGTCCGAAAGCTTAAGCAGCTGCTGCTGACCTGATTCCTCACTGCCTTAGCAGGCAATGACTCTGCAGGCAGCGTTTGTGCACTAAGGTACCTCACGAAACTAATTTCAAACAGACTTCTGAGGAAGCAATACGGTTTAATGATCTACAACAAAATAGAGAGAACTTTGGTGATTTGGTGAACTAAGCTACAGTTTTACTGTATTTTTGATAAAATAAATGCAGCTTGATGAGCATAAGAGACTTCTTTCAAAAACATTAAAATATTTTAACGACCCCATACTTTTGAACAGTAGTGTGTAGTGGTATTTAGAGCAAAGTTCACTTCATTTAAATAAATAAATGTCATGATCAGTTTTATGCTATTTTCCTTTAATTTGCAATTTCTATTCCTGTCTATTGTCACAAAAATATAATAAAAAGAAAAGAAATGTGTGTCATAGTTTTAGCACTCTAGTCAAAGTGGAGCAAAGACCTTCATATTACTGGTACTTTTTTGTACTGCCCTGTGCATTTAAAAATGTAGAGGTCTATGCCAAAATTGTACACTACCACACTACTTTAACAAACGGCTGTTTACATAGGACTTCCTCTGGCTCCAACTATACTAAGACATGTGATCACCTACACATCTCACTCTCTCTGCCCTTCCGGTAAATGATATATTCCTATTCGGATTTAGTGGGTGGGCAGGGAGGTTTGCTTTTCTACATGAGTACTAAAGTATATATTTGTACTACTGACAAAATGAAAATTGTGAAAGACATCAAGAAGCGTATTCTACATTGTGTTAGTGTGAAATGCTTCTCTGAATAATACCTTAATATATTTGCATTTGTCATGACTATCTCTGGGCCATTTAAGGAATTATGTTTTTTTTTTTAAATAAAGCTAGTTTCAATAACCGTTGGAAAGCCATTGAAGTGTTTACGTGCTGGAGGACAGGGTTTAAAAGGATAGTTCAGCCAAAAGTGAAAAACTCACGTCATTGCAAATAAATATGACTTTCTTTGTTCTGTGAAACACAAGAGATGCATTGATTAATGTTCACACTGCTCTCTTCCATATAATGAAAGTGGATTATGATCGGGGCTGTCAAGCTTCAAATATGCACTGTAAAACAGGATCGTAAGTGGTCCATGAGACCTGTGCATTAAATTCCAAATCTTCTGAATAGGGATGCATTATTTGGACAAAATGCGTTTGAAAAAAATTCAAGGTTTGCTGTGCTTTGTAAGGCTGCACAATTTGGCAAAAAATAGTAATTATCAATATGATCAAGTCTTTAAAAAACAGCCTTATGAGCATTTATTTTTACAAATTTGGAAAGATGGTTAGCACATGTTGCGTTTCTAAATGCACGTCATAAGCAAGCCAAACAGTGTTGCAAAAAACAGTTTGTGTAGATCTACATTTTCTGCGAACCAAGCTGCTCAGTGCTGCACTTCACGCTGAAACGCACACGGTAAATTAAATCACAGCCTTTGATTTTTCTTTTAATTAATTGTGCAGCCCTACTTAAAGGGTTACTCCACCCCAAAATGAAAATTTTGTCATTCATCACATATCCCCATGTCGTTCCAAACCCGTAAAAACTTTGTTCGTCTTCGGAACACAATTTAAGATATTTTGGATGAAAACCGGGAGGCTTGTGACTGTCCCAATGACAGTAAATATCACTGTCAAGGCCCAGAAAAGTATGAAAGACATCGTCAAAATATTCCATCTGCCATCAGTGGTTCAATCTGAATTTGGCTGAACAATGCCTAATTGTGCAAAAATGGTTAGCTTGAATGAGAATGAAAATGATATGCTTGAACAAGTTAGAAAGGTGAATAAGACAACACTAATGCTAAGCCATTGAAGTTCTGTGTTCCAAAGCTGAGAGCCAATGCCAGCTGGCAAACGCTTCAGATCCTTAATCTTTGGTTAACACTCCATGTAGGCAACTTCTGCCCTACTTTTCAGCTCTACTTTCTGGAGAAGATCTCTGGTTCTCACATTCCATTTAATTTGATCAAACCATCAAGCTTTGTGTGAGCAACCTGCCCCTTTGAAACCCTTTACCAACCAAACATGCACCCTAATTCCACTATTTTTTTAGTGGAATGGATCAAGCAAATCTGATTTATTAAAGTCAGAAGCAGACAGGTGTTTTGATAATGATTTGTCTCTAACCCCACCCACTTAAAAAAACGAAAAAGAATCTCCGTCACCTCAGGCTCTTTGACTCTCTCTCTCTCTCTCTCTCGCTCTCTCTCTCCTCCTCCTCCTCTTCTTCATTTTTTGATTATGATTGCTGTTCCTACGCCATTCAGCCTGCAGCAAGTGTTGGTTGGTACATGTCAAGGTACTAAAGTATGCAACGTGGACAGCAGGCCTTTCGCTTATTAATAACGGACTCCATGTTCTTCATCACCTGCAGGAGTGACCCAGAACAGCCTGTTGCACAAAACTGACACTCTTTAATGTGCTTTCGCTCCTGAATAAACTAATTTCTTAGTGCAAACGCATCAATAATTGGCTGGAGATGAACATGAATAGGTTTTGTTTACCAAAGAGTTCAATTATATTTTTTTCTGATCTTCTAGACTTCACACAAGCTTGCTTGATAAACGACTATTTCAGTTCTTCTTAAGCGAATAAATGAGGTGTGTAAAAGGGAGAGGAGTTAAAGAAGATTTAAAGAGCATATCTGAGTGAGTTTCGGCATGCCCTCTCAGCTACTTGCTGTCTTCAAACTGATACTTACCTAATTATACACACACACACATGCACACACTCGCATGCATGAAGGGATATTCGCATAGTCTTCTTCCCACCCTCTATCTCACGCCCCCATCAAACCCTCCTAACCGACTGCCTGCTATCCACTTGCAAAGTACTGCTGTTGACACACAGGAATCCAAACCCACACCCACACACACACACACTCATTTCTCCCTCCTTGGCAGGAAGGACTCTCCTATGAACCAGACGACAGCTTGAGACTCTCTCCTTTTCTTCTGCTGGCAGGTGTTAGAAATAAAACCATAAATAAGTGCAAGAGGGAGCTAGAGACAGCGCGAAAGTGAACGACAAATGTCTGTCTTCATTTTTTGCCGGAAAGAGCGGGAACTATGAGGGAAAAGGAATGATATGGAGGAGAAATCTGTATTTTTGAGTAGCTAGAACAGTTATTAGGGTTTTATTTGTCTACTGTCAACTATTTTTGTGTGTGAAGGGGATTGAAGAGAACACTTGGATCATCTTCGCTCGAGAGGAACACAAGGCAGTCATGGACACTATAACACCTCAGCCACAATCCTGGATGACTTGGATTTGCACACTGGAGTTGGACCCTATCCAGCCCACAGTCCACTGATACAAATGAGGTAGTTTTTTTTTTTTGTACAGTAAATCTAAATCTGTGGAGATCTGTTGCATTTTAGAGGATGTCACCACATTGTTCTGTGGAAAGACTATATTTTGTGTTAAACTAGCTTTAGTGGACCAAAAGTCTGAGACCACACTGGAGATCTGGGATTCAGAATCTAATTTAATCTAGGAAATAAATGAAAAGCCTTCGGATTTTGAAAACAGAAACAATGCAATGAAGAAGACATATTTCAGATTCACAATTTCTAGGTCACTAATCAAGTAAATGAAGCATTGCTCATGTGAACTATTTTGTACAGACAGTCAGATGTTCTTGCTTCCACTGAAGCTCAAGATTCTGTTTAGATCATCTTAAATCATGATTGAGAACATGAACATCAGGTTTAACACAAAACTGTGGACTTCATGCAGCTTGTGTGCTGCTGGCATACTAAGAAAGTATGACATTCATATCAGTTTTTCAATTCAAATTCACTCACAGTGTTGTTCATATGCAAATATTCATAATAAATGAAATACAATTAAATTAAATGTATTATATTTGTATTTTATACATATGTTTGTATTATTACTATATAACAAAAGTAAACTTTAAATTTATTTTATTATAATTTTTTTATTAAAACATTGTCACTAGTGGTCTCAGATTTTTGATTCTTCCTGATTGTTAACTTCGGCTGAATCTTTATTTTGTCTTATTGGTACTTCTTGACATTGTAATATTGCTGCCAACAGAATTATGACTGCTTCCTGTTTACTGGGTGACATGGTGAATGTTTAAGGTCACTAAACTTCTATTATATCATTTATATCTGTCCTGCTGGGTTGTAATGCCAAACAATTTTTTCTTGCTTGAACAGATGCTCATGCATGGAGTATAATGTTTTGATTTGCCACTCATCACCTGCATAGACAAATCTAATGATACGCCTGGGATATGGTCCAGTTTATAAAATCCTGGTATAGAAAGCAGAAACACTGTCCTCCAGCCTTGCTAACATATATCAAATCAGATGCAAATATGCCTGTGCTACCGATCGCTTGCAAGCTACTTAATGTTGCATGCATAATAGTGTGATAGATTGTGCTGGATATGAGCCCTGAATATTCTACTGCTGCAGGGAGCAGATATGGTAAGTGTGTGCATACGTGAGCTTCTGTTGATGTGAGGGGCAGGTGACTGCATGTCTGGAACACGCTGTAAAAGAACTGCACATGGATAGAAGGCAGCACAACCATGAACTCAGTGTCAGAGTTCTTTACTGTGTGTAACAATATAGAAATGTAAGTTTTTTTGCTGGGCTTTGTGCTGGTCAGTTATCCTCATGCATATCTCCTTTTTTGGCAGTTGTTTTTTTGCTGATATAAACTGATTTTTGCACAGACACACACACACACACACACACACACACACACACACATATATATATATATATAACAGTTGATTATAAAATGCTCAGATATACACAATGAATTGTTTGTTTGACATAGGAATGAAGACATGTGCATTGATGTTGCTCTTTTAGAACGTTTAGAAGTTCCCGCATATGTGTTATTTACATTTTAACTTTGTCCCAGATCGATTTATTAGGAGAATAAAAAAATGACACAAATGAGATCATTGTTGATATGCAGTAAAAGAGTAAAGCTATAAAATAATTGTGTATAGCAAAGTCCAGATAATTTTGAGATTGATTGATAAGAAATGTTTGCTTTCATATTGATAGGGTTTAATATTACTTTTAGTATAATTAAAAAAAAAAAAAAAAATCCTGAAAGAAAATAATATACTATTTATTTATTTATTTATGGAATTAAAAATATCTAGTGTTATTTTATTATTATTTATATGCTAAGCTAGGTTTAGTAAGCCAAAATCATCACAATTAAAAGAACCAAAGACTTAAACTACTTCAGTCTGTGTGCATTGAATTTATTTAATACACGAGTTATACAATTTGAGTTGAATTACTGAAATTGAACTTTTCCAAGACATTCTAATTTATTGAGATGCACCTGTATATTAGTTAACAATGATGGGAAGTTATGAAAATAACATGGCAGTTCATCCAGTAAAATCAATAGTACATCTACATGTTTTTAAACAGATCTGTCTACTTGCTTGATTATTTACTCAGCTGTCATAAATCTGGACAATATGATCTTCCATTGAAGTCATGATTAATAGAGTGCTGTAGCGTCGTCATTTTGTATCTATTAATGTGTATGTGACTTACTTGTCTGTTTTCTTATAAGGTCATATAGACTGATTGTTCCATACCATGTGTGGAGCATATGTTTTGGAGAGTGTTTTCTTTTCTTTCTGAGCGGGAGGGTGTGACATCCTCTTTATGACCTAGCACCTGTTTGATGGAAGGCTTTATGTTCTCCTCTACACTGCTGTGCGGTAATAGCAATTATCCCAGCTGCCCAGAGGAAGTTATTAAAAAGCAGAAACCTCACAGCTTAAACTGGCTTTATAACATCCAAGTTTAGGTCATTTGCCTGGAAACTGTGATCCATTTAACGTGAGTCATGAGTGAATGCCCACATGAGGATGTGGGGTAAACAAAAAAGTATCATGTCACAATAAAATCTCCCTGCCTTATTCATTCTCATCCTGTATAGCCTCAGAAACCATTGTCTGCATTTGCTGCATAACACATTGGACGTGTAAGAGATATCCTTTTAGTATTAGAGTCATTATATCCCTCAAAAATGGGTTATTTTTTAATGTAGTGAGATAAGGTGATTTTTATACATGCAGACTACATGGACCTGGTGACCTTTTTGAATTCTCTGTGAAACTATTCCATCTCCATTGACATCTATGACTAAAGACCCATGAAGACATTGAATTTGTAGGATGTGTGTTTGAGCATGGATGGATCCCACAGGGTGTGGTTTGATGACGCTGTGCTTTAGTTAACATGTTAGCAGATATGAACATCAGAGAGATAGTGGAGGCGGCCAGACCCTTGGAATGTCTATCGTAACCTGTGGCTTGCTGCTCCTCCATCTCGGCCGTGCCAGTCTATGTGTGTGTTTGTATGACTCATTGCATTCTCATAGTTCTCAGCAGGTCTGGATTGCTCATACTGTATATGCTGGTAGAGATAAGAACAGACTGGAGGGAGCAATAGATGGCACGGCATGTTTGGTAACAATACAACTGATCTAGCATGTGTACAAGGAAAATACACTGTTTTTTTACTCTTTAAGGTCAATGTTAAGACGTAATTGTTTGTGTCAGATCAATTAATTGATTAAAAAAATTAATTAAAATTGCAATGAGTACACATCTTCTACGATGAGCATGTTTGTAATTTCTGTATTAAAATTAATCTAGATATTTTTAGGTCATAAAGTAAATTAATATCAGGGTGATATAAGTGTCTGGGTTTCATATTGATGAAAAAAAGGCAAATGGAAAAAAAAGGTAATATTATTAGGTAGATTACACTTTGAAATACATCCAATTATGAAAGTAACATGGTAGTATTTCTTAGAATTTTTTTGTATTTATATGATATTTGATTTTTTTTAATGATTCTTTATGTACAGTATATGTATTTTTTTTAAAGTGATATTTCAGTTTTTCTTTTTTAATAAATCTGCAAAAATGTCAACAATTCTGTGTTTTTCTGTCAATATGGGGTGCTGTGTGTACATTAATGAGGAAAAAAAATTAACTTAAATGATTTTAGCAAATGGCTGCAATATAACAAAGAGTGAAAAATGTAAGGGGGTCTGAATACTTTCCGTACCCACTGTATTTAAAAATATATAAATTAAAAATATATTTAATATATAAAATATATATTTAATATAATGATTAAGATATACTCATTTGTGTTCAAGGTGTAACCAAAATATGCTTTTTATTTTGTCATAAATGTACTTTTTTTATGGTTACACCACATGACATTTTTACTTTATCGCTCTTTTACGCTATTGACCCACATGCCATGACATATAAATATGGTAATAAATCAGTTTCATGGTTTCCATGGTATTCAGTCACCATGGTGCAACCACGGTACTTTTTGTCAGAAATAGTTATTTGTATCGTTTGACTTTAGTGTAATGCATGCAATTTCTGAGACCGATTTTCAGTTCATTTTATCCCATAAAGCAAACTCTAACTCATCCCCATCCCTCCCATGGTCTGTCCTGTGTAAGGAGCACCTGCCCCATCACCTGTCAGTTGGAGGCAACAGGCGGATTCTGTATCTGCACCTACATGTACTAGAGATACAGTCTGGGGAAAAGGACGCCATGCCACACCCAATAATACTCCGTTCTAGCTCTTCGCATGCAAAAACGTTCTCTCCTCACTTACCTTCATTTAGCTTGCCGCATTCAGGTCAACAGGGCCACTCGGGGTGGAATGGGTATCTAAAGCCCCTTCACTCAACTCTGTTAGTCTGCCTGGCCTTAAAGGCAAGGCTAAAGGGCTAAAAAAACAGCAGAGCTCACCTGCGGAATGAACAGATGGTGACGGAAGAGGTTTGGGGAGAAATAAGAACAGACCTTGTTTGTGTGACTGCACGCTATTAGTGCCTCCCCCAATAGTCAGCACAGATAGGATGCAGACACACAAATGAGGCCTGTTCTTGTTGCGTGAGCTCAGACAGACAAGACTCTTGTTTGTACTTGGGTACAGCTTACTGGGCAATTTAAGTGGAATGACAGAAGCGCAGTTATTTGGGGAATGTGGAAAGTGTCAGAGATCTTTGTTGGGATTGGGGGTCGACCATGATAATGAACTTGCTTTTCTTTGGCTAACAAAAGGCTTAATGGTTATCCATTTATATTGTGTCCTCATTTTGCTTTTACAAATGGCCATTGAATTTCAAGACTATACTATAAAAGAAACCGGTTATGATTGTCGGAAGGCTTTATCACTTTTTATTTGTCATTTGAAGGAACTTTTTATGGTTTAAAAACAGAGGAACATTTGCCTATAAAAAGCTAATAAGTTCTTAATGACAGG